TGGGGGTGCCGCCGCAGGGGGCCGGCGGAGCGCGGCGCTGCTCCGCGGGCGACCCGCGGAGGATGCGCGGACGCGGAGGGGGCGCGGGAGAGGCCCTCCGCGCTGCCCCCCTGTCCCGCCCCGGTGAGGAACCCGCGTCCACCCCTGCCCTGGCCGGCGCACATGCCCGGGGATAGCCCCAAATGCTGCCTGCTGGAGACAGGAGGGTGTTTTCGGTGGTGTAACCTCTGCGGGGCTGCGTACCTGCGCCGCCCTTTGTCGTAGATGTTAGGCTCTGTCGTCCTCCAGGGTCAGGTTGACAGGGTTTTAGACGAGAAGTGAATTTGGTGAGGCTGCGTATCCATAAATGAAACGATGACGGGGGTACCCCATCTGCTTCAATAACTGGAGGACTTCGAACAGCGCATCCCTCACAAAGAGGCAGGCGAGTTCAAAGAAAATGCTTTGCAAAATAAGGGTAATGATATCGCTATTCGCTTTCACTGCGGTTTTATTTTTTAAAGGGAACAGAAGATTGGGCACATGTTACTGTCTGGAAGGCAGATCTCTTTTCGAAATTGATTTGGGCTGTTTTAGAAGGGGATTCAGAGCAAAAATCACAAGATTGCAGTTAGACTGAGCCTGGAAGTAAAACTGAGTGGACAGCAGGAACAGTAAAAGCCCTTACAGAAACCCCATCAGATCCATCACCGTGCCCGTAAGGCGATGAGGATACTTCACTTTCTCTGAACAATAGGAGAGAAATTTGCCCTGAGATCCAGGGCTACTTCTAGGCTAGGCATGTGGGATGCAATTATTTCCTCTTTCATCAGCCACTGGAACTACCATTTTGTTGAAACCATATACTTTGGGTGTAATGATACCTTTTCTATGAGCTCTTTGCATCGAAAGGGGGGGGGAGGAGAGAAGAGATGACGTGAGATAAAGCGTAGTTTGTCTTCCAGTGCATTAGGTTTATTTTGCAGTGTGAAGGAGAGAGCCATTGTGTCAGCGATGGCAAAGGGGTCAGACTTGGCAGGTTTTTGTTTTTTTTTTTTTTTCTTTGCTGTGGAGCACGTGTTCGTGTCTTAATAAAACGTGCTAAAAGCTCCACTTTCAGTGGCAAACATGAAACCGAGAGGAAAGAAAATAACGCAGTATAGAAGTATTCACCCAGCTGCTGGACGAGGCGGGAGGTGTCCCACGGGGTGACATGGCAGGGTACCAAAAAGAAGCCGCGATGTCCGATCAGAAGGAGAGAGCAAGATCCCGCTCAAGTAGTCCTCCCTCTCAGGGAATTCCCGTTGTTCCCATTTCTATTTCCTATCCCCGAGCTCGCTGGAGAGAGAGGCGTGAGGTGAAGCATCCCTTGATATTTCTGTCGATGACGTTTCCGTCCAGGCACCGAAGCGTAAAGCGTCTGCAACCCTGCTGACTCCACGTATCCACTCGCGAAAACAGATTGCATCAAATATTGAACCTGGCTAGCAGCAGGATTGAAACAGAAATATGTCCTGCGAAGATCGCAGAGCACTCGGCTCCAGTTTAATTAATAAATACATCGGAAGTTAAAAATCACAGCTGTACCACAGATGCAAATCACAGCGGATGCTCTGGGGATGAGCGATGTGACCTTCGTTCGCAAAGACGGAGCCGCGGGCAGTGCCCCGATCGGGGCTCTGGGGGCAAAACCCACCCTTTTTATCTTTTCTGAAGGAAAAAAAAAAGGGGGGGACGGGACGGGACGGGACGGGACGGACAGTCGGGCACGCCAAGGGGGAGCGGAGAGGACCCCCTTCTCCCGCGGGGAGGAGGTCAAGGTGCGGTTCGAGGGATGCAGG